AATGGGAAAAACCAGGCTAGTGAGGGTACTACTATTGGTAGTATCAATGCTAATTCAGATTGTGGGGGTAGTCAGGCTATTGTGGCTGTTAATGAGGAGTTAGAAACTGGTGGTCTTGCTGCTGAGTTCAATACCACTACTGAGATCCTAGATTCTGTCATGGATCCTAATGATACTCAGCTGGTGGATGTGACCATTGCTACAGCTCCTGTTGGAGAAAGTAGTGGTACTAAAAAGAAGCAATATGTTGTGAGAAAACCTAGGGGTAGGAACCTGATTAATTGTGATATAATGTGTGTTGATACTGGTATTAACCTAGATGCTATTAAGGGTTTTAAGGAGGGGAGTGTCAGAAAAAGACTTGTCCCTGAGATAGAGCAGAACATTGATTCTGAGGGGGATGAGTCTAGTGGGAAGAGACTGAAACAAAGTGATAATTCAAATTCTGAAAAGGTGGAGGCAACCAGCCATAACTGGTCCCATGGTGATCAATGAAAGCCATGGTGTGGAATTGTAGAGGTCTGGGAGGACCCTCTACAATTTCCCAGTTCAAGGAGGCCTTGAGGCACCACCTCCCTGATTTTGCTTTTATTTCTAAAAAAAAAAAAAAAAAAAAAATTGTCATTTCAGTTTGTAGGAAGCTTAGATTAGGGGATAGATGGTATTATGGTGAACCCTCTGGTTCTAGAGGAGGTATGCTCCTCTGTTGGTCTGATCAAGTATCAGTCCTTGAAATTACTAATATGGATTTTTGCTTGGTGGTCAAATTCAACTGGAAAAACCAGGCTGAAAACATTTGGGCTACCTTTGTGTAAGCTAGCACCAACCCTGCTGAGAGAGCAACACAATGGAGTACTTTGCTGAGACAAAGTCTCTGTTGGGGGGATTTGTGGTTTGTGGGTGGTGATTGTAATGATATTTTGAACAATCAGGAGAAGAGGGGAGGCAGACTTAGAGATGAGGCTAGCTTTGCCCAATTTAGGAATTTTGTTTATGGGCTTGGTGGGGTGGATCTTAAAATTACTGGTCACCAGTTTACTTGGTCTAATAATAGAAAAGGTAGGGATTTGGTGGAAGAACGGCTAGATAGATTCTTGGTGTCCCCTGCCTGGGCTTTAAAATTTGCTAATTGCCAAGTTAAACATGTTTCTGTTATATCTTCTGACCATAGTATAGTAATCTTGGAGAATTTGAATACCTGTCATCCTGTGAAGAAAAGATTTGTGTTTGATGCTAGATGGGTGAAAAAACCTGACTTTCTGGATGTTGTTGATAAGGCATGGAATAGGGATGTTGAGGGGCATGCACTATGGAGTATTCAAACCAGAATCAGAAGGGTTAGAGTAGCCCTCCTCAAATGGAGTGCTGGCTCTAGGACTAATTCAAGCATTGAGATTGAAAAGTTAAACTGCAAAATTAGTGAGCTTGAAGCCTTAGGAGAGGATAAAAACTGGGCTGATTGGGTGAATTGTAGATATCTCTTGCATTCGGCTTATGAAGATGAGGAAACCTTTTGGAAAATGAAATCTAGAGTTACCTGGTTGAAAGAGGGTGATAGGAATTCCAGGTTCTTCCATGCTGCTGTGAAACAAAGAAGAAACATCAACTCCTTAGATAATATCACTAATGCCTGGGGTAAGAGATGTGAGCATAATGAAGAAATCCTTAATGAATTGCTTAATCATTTTGAGGAGGTGTATAAATCTTCTAACCCCTTAGGCAGCAGTTGTTCTTTGGAGGGCATTCCTAAATCAGTGACTGATGACATGAATTTGAATTTGACTAAACCTGTTGAAGTTGAGGAAATCCAAGATGTGTTGATGAGTATGGAGCATTGCAAAGCCCCTGGGGCAGATGGTATGACTGTTCTGTTTTTTCAGAAAGCTTGGCCTGTTATTAAACATTCTTTTTGCTTGGCTATTCAGAATTTTTTCCAAATGGGCAGATTACCTAAAGGGCTGAACCACACTGTTCTTACTCTTATTCCTAAGAAGACTAAGGCTCAGTTGGTTTCTGATTTCAGACCTATAAGTCTATGCTCGGTGGTGTATAAAGTGATTGCCAAAATTTTGGCAAATAGACTTAGGGGCATTTTACCTGATTGCATTTCACTTTCACAAGCTGCATTTGTTCCTGAAAGACAAATTATTGATAATGTGGTAATTGCTAATGAATGCATTCACTTTCTTAATAGTAAAAGAAAAGGGAAAGATAGCTGGATGGCCCTTAAATTAGACATGACCAAGGCTTATGATAGGGTTGAATGGTCTTTCTTGGCTAGAATCTGTAGGCATCTGGGTATCTGTTCTGTTTTTGTGGATTGGTTGCTTGCTTGTGTTTGTACTACTTCCTTTTCTTTCAATCTTAATGGGAGGCCTCAGGGTTTTATTAATCCCACTAGGGGGTTAAGACAAGGAGATCCTCTTTCTCCGTATCTTTTCATTATCATTTCAGAGGCCTTCTCTAATTTGCTAAATCAAGCCAATCTTAGTAAAGTTTACCAGGGTATTAGAATAGGTAGAAAAGCTCCTGTCATTACTCATTTGTTCTTTGCTGATGACTCTATTCTGTTTTGTAAAGCTAATAAGCATCATGCTCAGTTAATCATCAATTTATTGGGTGCTTATGGCCTTGATTCAGGTCAGGCTGTTAATCTTCAGAAGTCCTCTATATTCTTCTCTAAAAACACTTCTTCTGTTTCTAAAAGGGAAATCTGTTCTATTCTCAGTGGCATAGCTTGTGTTCAATCTTCTAGATATTTAGGGCTTCCTCTGGGGATAGGGAGAACCAAGAGAGATGTGTTTAAGTTTTTATCTGAGAGGGTTAAAAAAAAACTTGAGAGTTGGAAAAATGTGTTCCTGAGTGAAGCAGGGAGAGAAACCCTTATAAAATCTGTGTTGAGTGCACTACCAACTTATGTGATGTCATGTTTCAGGGTTCCCATATCTGTTATTCATTCATTGAACAGAGACTTTGCAGCCTTTTGGTGGGGTAAGGGGGATTCAGGGGGGGGGAGGGGGGGGGAGAATTCATTGGGTCAACTGGGAGGGCTTGACTAAACCTAAAATGAGTGGGGGGTTGGGTTTTAAAGATTTAAAAGCCTTTAATGAAGCTCTCCTGGTAAAACAACTCCGGAGAGTAATTACTAAACCTAATTTGTTGGTTAGTAGGCTTCTCAAGGGTAGATATTGTGGGGATTGTGATCTCTTTACTGTCCAAACCAAGAGTTCTGACTCTTGGCTTTGGAAAAGCTGGATGGGAGCTAGAGAGAGTTTGAAACTGGGGGCTAGGTATAAAGTGGGGGATGGTAAATCTATTCATCTTTGGACCTCTCCTTGGGTACCTAATATTCCTGGGTTTAAACCTAAGTGTGAGTTTCAAGATGATCAAGGTAGACTGAGGAGGGTGAGTGACTTGTTGTTAGAGGGGTACATAGGGTGGGATAGAGAGCTAGTGAATCAATGTTTTAATCCCTTTGTTGCAGGTCTGATTCTTAATATTCCTTTAGCTACCCCTGGGTCCAAAGATAGAATGATCTGGAGTGGTCAAAATTCTGAGGTTTTCTCGGTGAAGGCTGTGTATCAGACAATCATGAACCATAAATCTTTAAAATCTGCCAAACTGACTGGTTCTAGCAATGACCAAGAGAAGCTGAGAAAAGTTTGGAGTACCATCTGGAAGCTTCCCATTCTAAACAAAATCAAAATTTTCCTTTGGAAGTGTTGGTTTGGTTATCTGGGAGTCAAAAGTAGATTACAGTCCAAAGGATGGAAGGGTGATGAGATTTGTGATTGCTGTGGGCTGGAAGTGGAGGATTTAAACCATATGTTGTTTCAGTGCACAAGAGCTGTAAGATGCTGGAAAATTTGTGGAGTGCAGTGGAATAGCTTGGAAACAAGGAAGGGAGATTTTAGAAGTTGGTGGGGTGAAATTAGTGGCAGTTTTAAAAGCACAAGGATGATTGAGAGATTAAGCCTCTCTGCTTGTTTGATTTGGGAGTTGTGGAAAGCTAGAAATGATTGGGTTTTCAACAAAGTGTGGGTGGAGGAAAAAATTGTAGTGAAGAAAGCAACAATTGGCTGGAAGGAAGTCTTAGCTGCTAGGAAAGGAGCTGGTATGGTGCAGATGGAGATGAACTGGACCAATCTAAACTGGGTGGATCATTTTCAAGGAGGAGTAGGTAAGCTATGCGTAGCTATCAGTGCTCACAGATCCAAACAGGGTAGTGTTGGTCTTGGGTGTATTGCTGCTATGGAAGGAAGTATAATACAGACTTGGACTGCTAAGATAGAGCATGCAGATTCAGATGAGATAGCTGAGCTCATGGGGCTGAGATGGGGGCTAGAAATGGCTTCTATTCATGGACTGAAGGACTTTTGCTGCTGTGTTAAAGATCATAGCTGGATAAATGACAAAATCAGAGACATGGCTCTATCTGAACAGTTCAAGAGTGTGGTATCAGACATTAACATCCTATCTTCCTCTTTAGCTTGCTGTGTGTTTGTTTCCGGTTTTTCTTTTTTTATTTCTAGTTTTAGATTGGCCAAAGGGGCTGCTCAGGAGGATTAGTGTGTTGATCCTTTCGGTTG